AGAAAGAAAATTCCAAATTTTCATTCCTTCCATCATAGATAAACTGGTAATATTGCCTTTTGTGTATTAATGTTTCCCTTAGTTTACACTTTGCTCATTGCTACCAATTTGTTCTCCCTTAGTTCGTGCCTCTTTGTCACTAAGTTGGTTTATTTTGTATGCGCTTCTTGATGAAACAGCCTATCTACTTTCGAGTAGGGGTAAGGGTGGCGTACACTTAGCTGTCCCAACTTCCGTTGTTGTTGTTGTTGTTAGTAACTTGTGTTGATGCAGAACAAAGATCGCTTGCTTTGGGAGGTTACTGAGGGGTTTTATGGGGCAGATCTATCATTTCACACGACCTTCATTGTGAGAGATATGGATATGGATGATGAGGACAAAACGTACAAGATAGAGGTGCATTTCAATACAATGAGTGGCGAACTGGAGCTGCGGAGATTTGAAGCGATTGTGAAGAATGCCTAAATCAGGTTATTTTTTTCAGTTTATTTCTTTATGCTCACAAATTTATTGGCCATTTATGCATAATAAAGTAAAACCCAAGGCAGCTGGCACAAGCCCCCTAGTGTTGCCACCTAAGCCACAAGAGTGCGCTTGCGCCACACCCACCCCCATAATGTGCTACCCCCATCAAAGTGATAGCCTCTCACAATTGAAATCATACCGCAGTGTAAAGAGGTTCCAGATGTTTAAGCAACAAGGGCAGGACAGGTCCTGGGTTAGGTTTCTTCGGTACCTACCTGTGCAGGGACTAGGCAACCCTTTGTTTTTGACTGTCCTCTCTCTCTCTCTCTCTCTCTCTCTCTTGTGGGTTAATCATATTAGTAATGCTTAGTTAATTACTATATTCAAGTTATGGCCACTTCTAAGTATTGATGCTTATCTAATTTGTGTTTTCAGGAACATCCTAATTTGTGCTCAGTAGCCTGTTGAAATTCTAATTATCAAGCAAATGATGAACTTGCTACGACTAAGTAAGAACTGTGACTGTGTTTGGTTATGATGAACTATGTTTTCCATTGATAGGCAGTGTACCTTAATTATGATGACCTTTAACTTATTTCTAATGCCCGATTAAGTTGACAGTGTAGTAACTATGAAACGTAGTAGTGTATGTCGGTGCTCTTATTTCTTTTGTCCTCTCACCCAGATTAAGTGAGAATGCATTTAATAGTATCCGATTTGAACTTGACTGTAATGGACCGGACGAGACTAGACCTTAAACCAATTCTGAACCTAAAAAATAAATACACAGAGTTTTTGAGACTCGCCAAATTCAACCCTATCCCTGACCTAAGTCGAGTTGGGTTTCAATATAGTAAAACTGATCAAACTCGACTCGGGTTGTCATCTCTAGTGGGAGATGCTCTAAGACCCATAGGCTTTGACTCATTGAAAACCGGAACTCGGGAAGTTGCTGTCTTATGGGCAAGTGCGGAAAAGCAGTATGGACTGATCAACAGTGTAAAGCTCTGTATCCCATAATTGCTTAGAGCATCCGCATTAGGCGGAGAAGAAGAGGGAGGAGAAGGAATTCTCATGGAGTAGAAGCCGCATCTGAAGGAGGAGGAGATCGAGAAGTACTCAAATGAATATTTATATAATACTAAAAAAATGAAAAGGTTTATTGTGGAGAGAAATGAGAATAAAATATAGCCATCAGATTTGATGTATCATGCGCCTCAGATTGCATCTTGCGATCAGATTTTGAGATAGTGTATTTTCAAAGGTTTATGGTGCATTTCGACGTGATGCATTTTCGAACCATTTTGGTGCATCTAATTTTGATGAAATCTTGACCCTTAGATCTCACAATCTAAAGCACCAGATTCATTTTCATTTCTCTCCTAAGATTGCATATATATATATACACATATATATATATATACACACACACACACACACACACACACACACATATATATATATATATATATATAGACACACACACACATTAAGTCTAAAATGACACCAGTGCTACTGGTGTCATTTGCTTACAAACGGAGCACCGTAGGTACCCCAAACGGACTGGTGTAAGCAACTGGTGTATAAGTAACTGGTGTCATTTTAGACGCTCCCTAAAATATATTTTATATTGTTGAAAGACATTAATATAATAATTAGAATATAAAACGTTTTATATATACAAGTTTATGGTAATTAAATGCAACGATCATGAAAATTTTTTAAATAAAAAATAAACTAATAAAAGCCATTTAGATCAATATAATGATGACACTATGTCATGTGGATAAAAAACTTTGCCATGTCATATGCCACATGTCTCCATTACAAGGTTTGAACTCTGTTTTACATATATATACTAGTATTTAACCTGTGCAATGCACGGGGTCGAACACATGTTATTTTTAACTCTGATAATTTTTTATTTTAAGTAAATAATTATAAAATAAAAGTAAATATAATATAGAATTTTAGATACAACATAAACAGAGTATGCTAACTACAATTGATGTATATAAAAATTGAAAATAATGTACAAATGTAAAAATTAAATCCAAATTTTTTGGAAAACTTCAGGGTAAACCACATTTTTGATACAATTGCAAGTGTTACCGTTGTCATCTAAAACTAATACTTTTTCTTAGTTTTCACTCGTGAAATTGCAACATAAAGTTAATATTGTGATATTTTTTGCCTAAGATTGTAAACATTGACTTTGTCTAAAATAATATTTAACATTGACTTTGGCTAAAAAAATTGTTACTCGTATTTAAAAACTGCATTGACATGCTATTTAAATATTAGTGTGCTTCGTTATATATTATGTACTCCTATCCTTATAAAAGAGGTTTTTTATATTCTAAATTGATATGGAGATTTTAAAAGGTAAAATTTTATTTTAGAAAAAGCAATACAAAACTAAAAAGATGAGAGCGATAAGGGCCACGACAGGTACTCCAATTATTTTTATGTAATGTTGAATTTGGGTATGTTTGAAAATAGCGTTAGAAGTTAGCTTTTGTTTATTTAAAAAGTTATTTAAGAAGTTAGCGTTTGCATTTTCAAAGTAATCTGCATCGTTAAAAATTTTCCAAAACGCTAAGTTTGATGCGTTTATCTCGACACTTAGAAACCAACTTTAGTTCTTTTGCACATCTCAACGCAGCAAGTTTGTTGTCACATTTCAATGAAGCTAAAGCCGTCTTTCTTGTTCTGCAAAATGCCCCGATGGAATAGTGAATAGAATAATTCCAAACTCAACTAAAATTCAAAAGTTAGAGGTGTGCTTGATTGGAGCATAGGGGGGAGATAATGCTCCTGACCCCTCATTTGATGTTGGTTCAAAACATTTGGAGGTTGGGAGAACTTTATTATTCCTTCCCCTCCCCCACCCACAACCCTCTAAAACGAAAGACACTCTAATTCTCTGTATAACCACCCCTCTAACAAACCAAACAACGTGCATCAAAATCAATGAAAAGTTTCAAATATTTTACTTCAATTGGTCTTCAACATATCAAAGTTGATGGAAAATACAAAGCAAGAACAATAATAAGTATTGAATTAAAAAATAAATGTATATAATGCAGTATATAGATATAAATGGACTAAATGGAAGAAACAAAATCTTTAAAGGCATTTAAATTATAAAGTAATGCATCAAAAAAGGTAGTCGTAAGTCATAAACTGTCTAAGCCACAAGTTAAATAAAAACTTATGTAATCAAGATACGGATCCCTCAAAACCATAAAATGAAATATCTCTTTAGTCTTTTCTCTATTTTGATATTCTTCATCTTCTTGCTCGACGAATCCCCAACTCCATGATAATGTTCAATGTCTCTTGTTGAGAGTAGAATCGGTGATAGCATCCACATCTTGTTCCAATTGTTTATCCTTGGATTCTCCAAAAGCTTCAATCAAATTCTGCATGACAAAGTCGAAAAAAGTATTTTAAATTTAGTCAACTGGCTCTATTGTTAAATTAAATGAGATTAATATATGAACATTCATCTATAAATAATTTCAGTCAATTTTGATCACTAAAAACAATTTGCGGAGCAGAACAACAAAGGTACATACATTTATGTTGTTCTACAATAGGATTTCTGTCAATGAAAAAATATTACATTTCGTATCATTCGATCTTGTCAAAAAATGAGTGTTCACCCTTATCTTTAGATGTAAGATTCAAGAACTCTAACAAAATTCGTATTGGGTCAACACGGTTTAAATATTCAGCATGGTCTATTCATTAATATGTGCTATTAGGTATATTCAAGGCATACTGATATGGGTATGGTCTGAATGCCTACCAAATACTGAGGATAATGACGATGTTATCTAACTGCGTCAAATTCTCAGTTCAATTAACACATAAACACAGCTGAGCAAGTATTGAGCAAAGACATCTCAATGTTCAGTAAGTCCTCACCAACACCAATAGTTCAGGAACAAAGTATTGCTTCAGAATTTACAATATGGGTTCAGGTCTGAATTTTCATGAAGTCTCCACCAATAGGCTATTTTCTTCATGAATATGAGTATGGTCTCATTATGGGTATGGCATCAATAGCCTGTAAAACTCATTCCTGGAGATTTCAAGGCCATGATTCTGGCATTGATGGGTATGGTCTCAATGTCTAGCAAATCCAAGTTCATGGACACTCAGAATGCCACATGCACAGTGCATGCAATAGTACATAGTACCATCAGCTCACACTGCTCTATTACACTCGCAAGCTAAATAAAACCAATCCCCGGCATTGTTCACTGCATCAACAGTGGCATACACGACATAGGAGCCATCGTGTTTGAATACAAACAGAATATTAGTAAGCTTTTAAAAACAATAATAAGATTAGTTTAAGGACTAACTGTAATATTTGAGACTCGTGCCACAGAATTTCGACATGTTGCATGTCTATTTGGCATTTTTTAACAAGTCATCTGCCACGTATTTAAAAACTGGATTAGACCAAACTGGCCGATTTGGGCCGTGAACCGATCGAACTGATAAGAACCGGCCGGTCAAACCAGTTGCCGAGGTGTTTTTTCTTGCATTTTTTTTCCAAAACATGCCTTTGTGGGGATTTGAACCCAAAACCCCTAGACATTTGGTTGAATTTCTAGCCATTCAAGCAAGGGTGATTTTTGTTACAAGTTCACATAATCTTTTATAATATTTCATAATTAAAAAAAGATTGTATAAAAATTTCTTTTCAATTTTAAAAATATAATCCTTTATATATAAAAAAGGAGAGTGATTTTTGTGAGGCTTTTTTTTTAAATAAATTTTATATTTCGTCACCTATAAAAATAATTGCATTTGTTTTGACACCTAATATTCCACCTAATTTAGGACGCATAAAATGTGAAATTATCGTTATGGTAAGAAATCTTTGAATAAATTTAATTATGAAATAGGAAAATTCATTTTTTTATAATAGTATTCTTTCCGAATTAATTTTTTAACTCTTCATTTATAATTGCACTTTTAAATAATTATAAAACTACATTAAAGTATATTTTCATAAAATTTACTTTAAATAAAATTTAAAAACAATAGAATATTGAACTATAATTGTGTTAAATTAGAAAAATATATTATACAAAAATGTCGCTATAATTTTTTGGAAAAAATTCTCTATACTTGAATAGGAATAAACATGGAGAAAATACCAAAATAAAATTGCAAATTTTTTATATCTCCAAAATAGGAGCTACCAAACATTAAGAGATTCCTTAGTTTCAAAAGGAAGGTTTTGGTAATGCATTTCTATCGAAAGACAATGTTTGTTCTATGTATCGAGGTTAAAGTATACAAAATTGACAAGAAAATAAATTGAGAAGATCAAATCCAAATACATAGGGAGTATTATTGAAGAAATTAGAACCTACATGAAATTTTATACAATTGAGTGAGAACTAAAATTCATTTTTTAATAAAATTTTTTTATAAAATCAACTTCTAAAATAATTAAAATAATCTTATATTGTAACTTATGATTTACTCATTACATACATATATTGTGTTACAATTCAAAATGTTTATACATAAAATTAAGAAATTTTGAATAAGAGAGAAATTTTCATAGGGTGATATTTTATGAGACGACACAGATTTATGCATAGAAGATTGTGACAAAGAAGATCAAGGTGTGGAAGGGAGCGTGAGAAGGTTTGTGACAATGAAGATTTAGGATAATAATAAAAGTAAGAACAATTGTGCAGAACTCTAAGCTAAGGTGCAATAGCTAATAAGTTCGAGACTCAGTTACAGGTTACAACCACATCAAAGAAAATATAATTTCCAATTTGTAACTATTTATATTTTTATAGAACATTTTATATCTTGACCATAATACTATCCCGCCAAAATCATTGAAGCACTAACATTTTAATGTTTTTTAAAATCAATATGGGGGAGAAGAAGAATTGATTCTTAATATTTTAAAATTAAAATTTATAATCATAGAGATTTAGGATCCCTAATTTAAGACTTTGTTTTTTAATAATGCAAGAAAGAATAATACTTTTTTATAATCATTGCGGGGAGGGGGTAGTTGGGATTATGGATGAGAAGAATCCTTTTTTTTAATTACTACCCCGTCCCTGAGTATTTGTTCTGTTTTGACTTTTTCCGATTAACTATTTTCAACATTTGACTTATAATTAAATAAAATATATATTATATATTGAGTACATAAAATAATATTTTGAAAATGAATAATATAATAAATCAAATAAAACTAATTTTGTAACAATATCTAATATCATTATATTATTACCAATTTTGATAAAAAAAAGTCAAAAGTGAACAAATACTCAGGGACAGAGGGAGTATATAATTATAATACCGGTAGTTTAGGTTTTTTTAAATTAATGTGAGGAAAAAGAATCATTGGATCACTATTACTTTTTGTATTAATATATTTTTGAATTTATACAGGGAGAAAATATTTAGATTTGTAGAAATACATCAAACTTAGATCATTTATATTTGACCATTGAATAGTATTCAAAACAAAAATCAAGATCCATATTGTAAAATCGGAATTTTTTTTTGTCTAAACCCGTGCATGGCACGTGTAGAAATACTAGTTGTAATAAGTTAGAGAGTTACCAAATGACGTATAGAAATAGTATGCTTACTGTATATAAGTTCTTATAGAGTAGATTATACCCACCCTTGTCTAAATGCAATCACCTGTTCTATCTCAGGATTTAATTAATAACATACGCCTGCCGTACATGACATTCTGTAAAATTATATTTCCTGGTAATTTTTCACATGGTTAGTTTTTAAAGAATAATCACAAAGATGATTGTGATATGGAAAACCAAAAAAATTAAAGAGTAAATTCTATAATTGGTCCTTTATAACAAGAGGGTTTCCCTATTTAGTCCTCTATTATCAAATATTATCCAAGTGGTCCTTCTTTTATGGGTACCTTTCCACAAATAGTCCTTTTTTGATCTTCTATCATGTTGGTGTTAATTTGAGGGCTAGAAGGGTATTTTCACAATGATAATATATCTCTTTTGTCATACACAATTCCAAAGGCTGTTCCATTTGCGTCGTTTGTGAATTCCAGTCGCTTTTTACGACAATTATAGATTACAAATGTGATCTTTCGTCAGAATTCTAACCCACAATCATAATCATTGTTTCTGTGTTATCCGCTTAAGCAATATCAGAACACGTCACTAGACATAATATTGACGTCAAATTATATTTTTAGCCTTTAAATTAACACGAACACGGCAGAAGATCAAAAAAAGGACCATTTGTGGAAAGGTATCCTTAAAAAAAGAATACGGGGGTAATATTTGATAATTGAGGACTAAATATGGAAACCCCCCTGTTATAAAGGACCAATTATGGAATTTACTCAAAATTAAAACAGAATAGCATATAATTAATCATAGTACCTTGAAACACTTTCACTTTTGCATATTGTATCACAATTACGGGATGTTCCAATGGCTGTTGTTGGAAGAAGCTTTTTAACTTGTCAACGTATTCCCAAATAGTGTGATATCCCCAATGTCATTCTAAATCAAAAAATTCAAATGACATAGCACATTTGACACTGTTAATGGACTAATAATAATTTTTTGATGTGTAGCTCTAAAAATAACAATACCCTTCAACTTGATGACAATCATCTTTGTCCTTTTGGACTCCTTTACTATCTCCTTTTGCTTGCCCACAACGGTAAGGATCCCCATAGTGTTTGTGTAAAAAGAAAAATGTAGATATCGCCAAACATCCTATGATTAGCTTTAATTATAGACAAGAGAACCAAAGATTACCAACTAAGTATGGGTAGTTTGGGTCTGCTTGCAGTATTTCAGAAAAAGTACTCAACATAAGCCCATGCACTGGAATTTTGTCAGAAGTACATTCGGCCGCAGTAGTTTGTGGTTGGAAATTAAGTCTGTACTCATGTCTCGAGGTACGATAATAGCCACTACTGATGCCTATGCCAAAATAGGCAAAGATGTAAACAGAACCCTCCTTGAGTCGTCTCTCAAAAGTTCCGACGAAACTTATGCCATTTCGCGTGGTTTTTATCAAACGACAAAAAATGAAAGGTGGTTTTTGAAGTGTTTTTGATGAAAAACTATTTAAATGTGCCCAGAAGTAAAAACCAGTCATAAAAAGTTGAAAACCACTTGGTTAGTTCGGATGCCAAAAACCAACGCCGAAAACCGAACGCCGGTTTCTTAAACCCGAACGCCGGATGGCTTGGTTTTTGGTTTGGGCGAACACCAAGTGTTTTTAATGTTTTAAACATGTTTGAAAAACATTTTCATGATGTGTGAAATGCAATGAAAAGAATTTTAGCCTAAAGAGCCAAGGTGTAAAGGTTGGGTCGGTCTTGATCACAATTATGACCGACTCAACAACACTAAGACTACGGTCTTCGTTCTTGGTCTTCTTTTGGGTCTTGTTCTCTTGCTTTGTTCTTATATTTATTTCTCGCCTTGTATATTCAACAACTTGTCTCGTTCACGGCGGTTTGGCATTATCAAAACCTGTCATAAAAACGAACACAGCTTTAGTACGAAAACACGATAAACCCGTGTTTCAACAAGATGGAGGGTACTTAAAGCATTTTGTTAGTAAATAAAAGGATTTTTGGAAAATCTGATATTTATGCACATGGAAAAACAAATAAAAGAAGTAATAAAGTCTCACCTTTCTTTAGAAATGGTGCACAAGCTGCAAAATCTTTTTCAGATGAAAGAACTAATGTCTCTCCTTGAGTAGTTGTATCTTTGGTTTCAGTCACTTCCTGGTGAATGTGTCACAAGTAACAGCATCCAAGAAAGACAGTATGGTTATATATAATGTACTAAGTTTCAGTACACATTTGCAACCATTACCAATGTTGTAAAAAAGAACCGGGTGCTCTCTAGGCTAATTAGATAGCCATAGTGCAGAGCTTAGAGCCTAGGCATTGATTAATTGGGGAATTTTACTGCAATGCAATGACCATTACAAATGTTGCAACTTGCATTTACACAAAGAAGAAATGTTCTTTCCAAAACATGCCAAAAGGAATTCTCTTATCAAAATCTGTGAGTGTAGAATCATAACTGTAGTCTTGAACTAATCTTTTAGAGTACCTGAGGTTTGCCAATGTCTTGATGCTTTGCGTTTAGCCATGTAAATATTACTTTGTTGCCGCATGCTGTCATATGAATAGATAGTTTTGAATCTGCCCAGGTTGTTAGAATGACTGACATATGCTTTAATATGTTGGATTTAATATGCTAATGCTTTATGCTATACATTCATGTTCTTGACATACATACTGTTTGATGTTTTTAAAAGGATTTAGTGGTAAAAGTTTTTGATCTATTTGATCCATTGGTATGAATTTAAATAAGGAAAAGTGAAGTAGTATCCTTTGACTAATCCCCTGTTATTGCTTTCTTCAACTTTTTAAAGTTCTTGCCATTTTTTTCTCTTGAGCTATGAATTACAGATTTTCCACCTCTCATTAGAATCAATTAATTGTCAAACAAAATACTTATGAATGTAAGAGGGATGGGTAATGACTGGGGTTTGTCAATCAAGCACTATTTAATTTTTCAAAGTCAAAAACAAAACAAACTACACAGAGTAAATAATTCTGCCTGAGTAGAGTACGTTATGGAGGTATAGAAGAGCAATCAAATGTTCTTTAAAAACGCAGTGTATTGTTTTTTTATTGTTGCTGATATTTTTTGCAAATATCTGAAAATGGAGTACAATCCATGCAACAGTCAGGCCATACAGATATGCTCTCAAGTAAAAGGATGTGATCGAGAAATTGATTGAAGAAATGCTGGATAAGGGAATAATTCAACATAGTTGCAGCCCATATGCCTTTCCAGTAGTCCTAGTGGGGAAAAAAGATGGAACTTGAAGATTGTGTGTGGATTATAGGGAACTTAACAAGCAAACCATTAAAAATAAGTTCCCTATTCCCTTGGTGGAAGAGCTCATGGATGAGCTGGCAGGAGCCCAAGTGTTTAGTAAAATTGACTTGAGGGCTGGTTACCATCAAATCAGAATGGCAGAAGAGGACATTTTTAAGACTGCATTTAAAACACATTCTGGGCACTATGAATTTTTAATAATGCCATTTGGCCTTACCAATGCCCCGGCCACTTTTCAAGGTCTTATGAACCAGCTTTTCAGATCACTATTGAGGCAATTTGTTTTGGTCTTCTTTGATGACATATTGGTCTATAGTAGTTCATTGGAAGATCATGTAGAGCATCTGCAAAAGGTCTTTGAAGTTATGAAAGCCAATAAATTGGTGGCAAAAAGGTCTAAATGCGATTTTGGCACTGATCAAGTTGAATATTTGGGGCACTTCATATCTGGAAAAGGTCTTGCAACTGATCCTAGAAAAATAAAGGCAATTCAAGATTGGCCTTGTCCTTCTAACATCAAGGTATTGAGGAGCTTCTTGGGATTGGCAAGCTACTACAGGAAGTTTATAAGGAGTTATGCACTGATAGCCAAACCCTTAACACAATTATTAAAAAAGGGTAACTTCAATTGGAGCATTGAAGCTACACAAGCTGTAGAGGAATTAAAAACTGCCCTCACCACTGCCCCAGTTCTAGGTTTCCCTAATTTTGCAAAGACATTTGTTGTGGAAACTGATGCCTCTGCCTATGGAATTGGAGCTGTCCTAATGCAAGAAAATCATCCTTTGGCTTTTCTAAGCAAAACATTGGGACTTAAGTGGCAACAATTGTCAGTATATGAGAAAGAGTTACTTGCTGTGGTACATGCAGTGCAAAAGTGGGAACAGTACTTAAGTAGTAACACCTTTGTGATTATTACTGACCAGAAAAGTTTGAAATGGCTTATGGAGCAGAAAATTTCCACTCCCTTTCAACAGTTTTGGTTATCCAAATTGATGGGGTTCCAATATGAGATACACTACAGTAAAGGGAAGGAAAATGTGGTGGCTGATGCCTTATCTAGGGTTAAGGGATCAGAATTGTTGGCTTTAGCAGTCTCTGGTGTGCAATCTGACATTTTAAAAACCATTGAAGAAAGTTACCAGTTGGATAATAACTTGAGGGAAACCATAGCAAAGCAGCAAGGTGAGCCAGTACCAAAATATAGTTTACATGGAAACCTGTTGAGGAAAAAGGGGAGGCTTGTGGTTGGACCAAATGCTAACCTAAGGGGTCAAATCCTCACATGGGTACATAATTCACCAACGGGGGGACATTCAGGCAGAGAGGCAACACTAAAGAAGTTAAAAAACCTGTTTGCTTGGAAAGGCATGACCAAGGAGGTGCAGAATCATATTCGGCAGTGTGTAGTGTGCCAAAGCTGTAAGTATGACAACTGTAACATCCCAACCCGCGTAACCCGAACCAACGAGTTAGCGAATCGGGTTGCTACTAAAATGGTATTCACATGCATAATAATTTAAAAACACTTAGAAATGAAAGAAGCATTCATATTTATTGAAAAACAATTCATCGTTTAATCGGAGTAAATAAAACAAACGTTGCGGAAGCCTTGAAAACAACATTCAACATTTTGGTAATTTAAGTAAACAAATCCAACAACTATATTTAATTTAAGTTAAACAGCTTCGGGCCATCCTCCAGTGTCACGCCTCACTGTTCTCCAGGCTGCTCCTCATCCAATCCTTGATCTCTACCTGTAAAAAAAATAAGGAGAGTGGAAGTATCTAACGCTAGAACTAACCCATAGACTAGCACTCATTAATATACAATCATACAATATCACTAATTATACCACTAATTGAGGTCTCTCCAGTATAACGGTAGCGTCTTGGTGATAACGGCGACGACAGTATAGCACTGCAGTGGGCCAGGGTCTTGCCGGCGGCGTCAGTCTCTCTTCGGCATCCACAGCAAACAGTAGCAGCTCCAAGGTGGGGGCTCTCGGCAGCAAGACCAACAGAACGGAACATAGAAGAAGGCAAGAACAGAACAAAACGAGGAAAAGGACAGAGGAAGGTCAAAAGAAGCGATAAAGCAGAACCGAGCAAGAACGGTACTAATTCCCAGTTCAATCCAATTCAATCAATCAATTAATCCAACAATTCAATTCACAAATCCATCATCAATTACATGAAAATATATCAACGAACCCTAATCTATGAATTAACTCTAACGAGAGATAAATCACTCACCTCAACTCAACTGAGAAGACAAAATTATAATTTAGTTATCTCCGATGAAATTCCAGCTGAGCTCCCCTGGTTCAATCGGCCCGCATATATAAATAGGCAAAATTCACAGGAACACTCCGAGAAATAACAAATTTTACATAATACTCCCAAATTTATTTATTTACACAGTTACTCCCACATTTGTCTATTGTTTACGTAGTTACTCCACGATTGCTTCATCATCCGTGTTGCTCGGGTGCGTCTTTTTATACAGGGTTCTTAATCTTTTTTATTGAATTCAAATTAAATTAATATGAATAGACTTGATTTTAAACACTAAAAAGATTTAGGAAGTTTAAAATCTGATTTTTTTAAAAAAAATGATGAGAAATAAGGGCAATGATTAGGCTTACTAAGACGCGAGAAAGACGATGGAGAGAATAAATCGAGCTGAATTTGGTATATCAGATTGAAAAAATATATGTCAGCATTTTAACTGTTTATTAATGCAAAAAAGACACATCCAAGTAACACTAATGATCACTATCAAATTTGAGAGTAATGATGTAAATAAACAAATTTCAGAATATTTATGTAAAATCTATCATTTCTGAGAGTATTCTTATCAATTTTGCCATAGAAATATGCGGAAGGGCGATTTGGGTTTAAGTCTCCTACTTGGAATAGGAATTGATACTCCGTATTTGTTAGTAATGCTTTACACGCATTAGGTAGTTTTAGGTTTGTTTATCATTATTTTTATTTTTATATTACTAAATATCTTTATATTTATTTAATGAACTCTAAATTCTATTTTACCCACTACGTTTTGCACAAAAGTCCAAATTTAATATAGTATATATCATTGATCATCATTTTACGAGATCTACTCGAAAACCTAATTTTTAATTAAAATAGTCAACTTTACAATTAGTTCATATTTTGAAGTCAATAAATAATATATTTATTTTATTAAAATAACGGCTAATTACTAAGCCGGTTTTCAGGGCGTTACAACAGCCCTTATCTGGGTCTTTTACAGCCCCTTCAGATCTCCGATGAAGTATGGAAGGACATTTCTATGGATTTCATAAAAGGTTTACCTAAATCTGGTGGAAAGGAAGTTATAATGGTGGTAGTTGACAGGTTTAGCAAATATGCACACTTCATGACACTGAACATCCATTTTCAGCCATAGAAGTGGCACAAACTTAGCTGGATAATGTGCTCAAGCTTCATGGATGGCCTCAAACTTTGGGAATATCACTTACTCCTCTAGTGAAGTATTTGGGAATATCACTTACTCCTCTGTGAAGTATTTTGAGCCAACTTTCTTTGGCATTTAACAATGAATTCTTGAATTTCAAACCAAAGATGTAGAAATTTCACACACGTAGAAAATTTAATTCAATACTTCTACATCTTAGGAAACAAATTCTTAAATGTATACAACAGTTATAATTACAACACAAACTACGTTTCGAATTTTGTCCAAGTTTTTGATTGATTGAAAAACTTTTTTCAACTTTATCTTTTAGTAAAAGTTAAAGTATTCTATTCATCTCAAATTGTTTACTACGGAGTACATTTCAAACGATGTGTAAACTATTACGGAGTATTTCTTTTAAAAAATTTAATTTACAAATTGATAGAAATATAAAAAACTAAAATTTACATCATTCAAAAGTATCAAAAGTTTACAAAACAAGATACATCAAAAAAAATTTATTACTCCGTATATCATATGATGTACCAAAACAAATAAACAAACAGAACATATCAAGATACCGAAACATTCTTTTTTGGTTTGAGAGAGTATATGACATTTTAAATGGTTGCTTTCTTTTTTGGTCGGAGAGAGTATATGACATTTTAATTGGTTGCTTAGGCTATGACTACCATCCCCAATCAAAAGGATCTTAAAATTTAAAAATGCTAAGTGGTGATTTACACATTAATATAATTACTTAATAATGTTTGATCAAGTTTAATTAAATTCTAGTTAAATTTGAAATTATTTATAATCTAATTTGATTAAAATAAAAATAAACAATAAAAATAAATTTAAGAAAACATGCTCTAATTCTCTCATATCTGAATCAGGTCAAAAAATTCAATATATGTCACAAATTTTAAATGAAATTCTGGTAAATGAACATTGACCTAATGACCTTCAACATGATCCAAATACGCCGGTCAAACTTAGAATGAACTTGAGTTGAAATGCATGACATTCAACATGTCCAAAGTACATATGTGACCATCAAATTGACAATGTGAAATAGATAGGTTGATGAAGAACAGTGTAGTCATTGGCCTCTTTTCATTACTGATTCCACAAACACTTCCTAAAACAAAACAAAAAAAAAAGAATTACAAGTTAGAAGTGAGTACTTAACAACATTTAGAAGCTTATTCAAAATATTATATTTACCTTTGGGGACCAGATTTCAAGAAAAGCTGATTTATCATTCAAATTTTTCTGTTTCAAAACTTTGATATATCCTTTGTCAGCATGCTTCTGCCCCCTAGACTCCCTGCAGTACCAATACGGCAAGCCCGAGCCAACATCCTCTCCGTATTTGGTGATAAGCACACAGTGCCGTACCCAATTTCTTAATGCTGGGGGGACGTAAATTTCCTGCAGTATAATTAAAAATAAACCAAAGAGTTTTTCAGGTGAGCAAGAACTAATTACAATTACATATTAACAATACTCTAGAAACTGACATATGTACCTTAGAAGACAAAGAAGACAACTGTGTGGTGCTCTCCAGTACCCCTACAACTGGACCATCAACCAAAAGATCAAGGACATCTTTATCCTTTATCTTTGACTCAAAATCTTTGTATGAAAAAGATTTCAACTTAACCATATCTCCTGCTCGAATCTAAAAACATAAACTAAAGTGATTATAAATAAAAATGAAGCAAAACAAATAGTAACTTTGATGTATTGCATAACAGGACTTTCTCTCTCTAGCCATGGCGAAGAGAGGAAGACCGAAGAATAACCCTAGAATTACACAGGAAAAACTGAATCCAACGCCGGAAAAGGCAAATGAAGCTTGCTCGTCTCATGATCCTGGAAGGAAATCAGAGGAACAGATCAATGAAGTGGAGGATGACCCACAAAACAACCCGGAAATGGAGGAAGATAAACCCAAATCCTACCCCGAAGTAGTTGGAGATAAGGATGAAATGGAATGCGCTTTGAAGTATGTAGAACCAGAGGAAAAAGATGGAATCAGATATGCTAAGCTTATGGATGAAGATATTGATGAAAACGCTGCATACTCGGAGGCAGCTGCTGTGGTTACATGAGACCCTAGATTAGGAGGGGATCGACAATACCTTCCTAAACAATTGTCTAATACCTTTGCTAAACTACAAGACCTACAATGGAAAGAGTTTATACCCGTCAAACATCAGTCTAAGTTATGTTATCATCTTTCCCTACTTCGTCATCGTTTCTGGATGATACATAAACTATTATTTGGAGAGATACACTCCTTTTGGATACCTGGCTCTGAAGTGAATTTGGCTGAACTTCTGAACATTCCTATTTGGATTCAGCTGCCAGATCTGGAATTGAGATTTTGGAGCCTAAATGCTCTAAGCAAAATTGGCAGCCTCATTGGGAAACCACTAAGGGCAGACAAATCTACTGTACAAAAGAGCAAAATGAGCTATGCCAGACTTCAAGTGAAGGTCAGGATGAAACAAGAGTTCCCAGAGGTCATCTACTTTGCCGATGGAAAAGACAGAATTATATCACAAAGGGTGAAGTATGAGTGGTGCCCCATTGTATGCTCTCACTGTGAAGGTTTAGGCCATAATGAAGAAAAGTGTAGGAAGAAGACAGCTCCTAGACAGCAAAAGGTCTGGAGGAAAAAACAAACTCATGCTGAAAAACAGAAAGAAGAAAAACCTCAGGAGAAGGAAATAGAGAATGACAACAAGGAGGAAATGGTCACCCCAGAAGGCAATTTTATCACTCAGGTGAATGAAGGAGAGAAAAATGAAGGCTTCACTGAAGTGGGTAGGAAAAACTCAATAAAGAAGAGATGCCTAGGAGAAAGTTTTACAATGATAGCTCAGGGGATTGAGGTGCCCACAGTACTGGTAGAGGCTCAGTATAGTGGGCAAAGGCCTTTCCTAACATGATTGGTAGCTGGAATATAAGAGGGCTCAACAGCTCTAATAAGCAGAGTGAGGTGAAGAAACTCATAAATAAATACAAAATAAGTGTCATGGGTATCCTTGAAACAAAAATTAGACAGGAGAAATTTAAGGATATTGAAAATAAGATGTTCCCTAACTGGGGCTCCTATATTAATAATTCATCTCATGATTTGGGGAGAATTTGGATTGTTTGGGATAAAAGGATTGCTGAGGTGCAAATCCAACAGGAATCAGATCAAGCTGTGCATTGTGAAGTTAGGAAGCTGGGGGAAGACTATAAATACTATATTACCTTTGTATATGGGGCCAATGATAGTATTAACAGGAGAAGACTGTGGGAGATGCTCAAAAACATAGCTGATAATATGCAAAAGGCCTGGTGTGTTCTTGGGGACTTCAACTCCATAATGGGAACTGAAGATAAAATTGGAGGACTGCCAGTTAAAGGGGAAGAAACTAAGAATTTCTGTGACTGCATTAGATACTGTGACCTGGAGGAGATACCATATACTGGTGCTAGATATACTTGGTCAAATAAACAAGGTCATGGAAAAAGGATATACTCCAAACTGGATTGGGCCTTTTCAAATATGGAATGGATGCTTAGACATGGAACAAAAACTCTAGTAGTTGAAGAAGGCATATCTGACCACTCCCCTTTCATACTCACAACTATTGTTAATAAGCACAGAAGCACCTTCAGATATTGTGAAATGTGGAGCTTAGATCCTGCTTTTAATGACATTGTGAGATCCCACTGGCAGGTTAATCATTTGGATGGGAAAATGTACCAACTAATACAGAACCAGAAGAGCCTGAGGAAGCCTTTGTCTAAACTACATAGAAATGGGTTCCAAAGAATTCATACCCAATGTGAGGAAAATAGAGAAGAGCTGCTGAATATTCAGAGGAAAATGAAGGAGGATCCCCAGAATGAACAGAACAGCTGATAGTGAAGGAAAATCAAATAAGAAAGGAGTTTATGATGAAACTTAAAGCTTCTTACCTTCTTAAGTGCCAACACATGAAAAAAGAAGTGGATTACTGAAAGTGACAGGGACACGGCATACTTCCATGCTTGGGTGAAGAAGAGGAAAATACAATATTTCTACCATACAAGACAGCAAGGGCAAAAAAGTTGAAGTTACAGATGATATAGCTGGGGTACTACTGGACTATTATGAAGATCTGCTAGGATTTCATAGAACTGTTGAAATGATTGAGCCTAAAGTTATTGAGGAAGGGAAGACACTGAATATACAGCAGCAGCTGATGCTGATCAAACCTATAAGCCCTCAAAAGATCAAGGAAATCATATTTGGGATATCTAGCACAAAGAGTCCAGGCCCAAATGGATTTGGAAGTGGTTTCTTCAAAAAGCAATGGCATGTGGTGGGAACTTTGGTGACAGAGGCAGTGATGGAATTTTTCCAGAAGGACAAAACACTGAATCAGGTTAATGCTACCCATTTGGTGATCATCCCAAAAAAGAAAGATCCTAACTCTGTGTCTGACTACAGGCCTATAGCCTGCTGTAATGTCACCTACAAGGTCATATCCAAAATAATATGTGGTAGATTAAGAGGAGTTCTAAAAGAGCTGGTAAACTGGAATCAAGGGGCATTTGTGGAGGGCAGGGAACTACTTCAGAATGTTCTTTTATGTCAAGAATTGGCAAGAGGATATGGCAGGAAAAACATCTCCCCTAGATGTCTCCTGAAGCTGGATATTAGGAAAGCTTATGACTCGGTTAGTTGGGAAGCAGTGAGAGGGATATTAACTCATATGAAGTTTCCTGAACAGTTTGTCAGATGGGTGATTTTCTGTGTAACTACCCCCTCATATAGCCTAGTTGTTAATGGTGAGCCTCATGGGTATTTTAAGGGCACAAATGGACTCAGACAGGGGGATCCTATCTCACCCTTATTATTTGTTCTGGTTATGGAGTACCTAACTAGCCTGTTCAGCTATTCTACCAAAATTTCCAAGTTTCGTTACCATCCTATGTGTGCATCCCTGAAGGTGGTAAACCTAATATTTGCTGACGACTTAATAGTGGGTTGCAAAGCTGATGTTAAATCTGTTAAAGTTATCATGGAGGTGCTGGAAAGATTCAACAAGTGTACAGGGCTTCAAATCAACAAGGAGAAATCTTCTATTGTGTTTGGAGGCTGTAAGGAGGATCTGGAAAAGGAGATTATTAGCATCACACAGATGAATAAAGGAGAACTTCCTTTTACATACCTGGGTTGCCCCATCTCATCATCCAGGCTATCTATTCAGGACTGTGACAACCTGGTTGAGAAAATTTGTGCCAAAATAACTACTTGGAGCTCCAAGCACCTTACATATGCAGGTAGGGTTAGGCTAATTAATACTGTGCTCATGGGGATAATAACCTTCTAGGCTAGTATTTTCCTAATCCCATCTAAGGTGATGAAGACTATCCAAGCAATATGCAGAAATTTTCTCTGGAACTCAAAAGCAGAATACAGTAAGGTCCCTTTAGTGAGCTGGGAAGAAACTTGTCTTCCTAAGAGCTGCGGAGGACTAGGGTTGAGGAACATGGTCCTATGGAACAAAGCCTCAATCATGAAACTGAATTGGGATATCCACAATAAGAAGGATATACTCTGGGTGCAATGGATCCACACAAGATACATCAAAAATGACAACTACTGGGAGTACACCCCTAGGCCTAATTGTCGTACCTATTGGAATCAAATGATGAAAGTTAGGAATCTGTTTACCAGCATGCCTAGAGGGGAAAGGTATACAACTCAACAGGGTTATGAATGGCTTATAGGCGAACATCCCAAACCAATATGGACAGACTGGGTTTGGAACAGAGAAACACTGCCAAAGTGCCAGTTTATAATGTCGCTAATTATGCGTGGGCGTATACAAACAAAAGTTAGACTGGCGAGAGTTATGGAGTTGGACACAACATGTTTCTTTTGCCAAAATGGGGAAGAGGACATTTCTCATCTGTTTTGCAGGTGCGAGTTTGCCAATGATGTGTTAGGCCATATAGCTGAAAGGATGCAGACAAAACTGGAAGGGGATGATATTGTAGAGATGGCAACGGGCATTACAAAGAACAATCCCAGGAAGAGAATGAAGTTCTAGCTGGATGGGCCACAGCGTGCTACTATATATGGAGGGCTTGGAATTGGAAAAGGCATGATAAAGAAGTTCAAATTCAGGAGATAGTTAGAACCATTAAATATCATTGTTCTGTATCCTTTAGTAGATAGAAGGGTGGGTAGAGGAAGTGTTGGAAAATGATGTGGGAGTGTGTAATGCTCGATGTGTTTTGGTGATTATATATATATAGTATTTTCGTTTCAAAAAAAAAACTGATGTATTGCTAAACTTTTTTTTACCTTTGGAGGGTGTGGGACCGCCTTACCAATGAAAGAACACTCTTGTTCTTCAGGTATACCCTTTGTCTCGAGCATGGTGCTCACGCCTCGGAAACTCGGAATGCTTTGATCTCCCATTTCATTGATTAGAAATTGGGAAGACAAAGACATTCGGTTTTTCGCCCTTCCCTGGTTCACCTTCCCTTCCATGGAGGCCCCCCTTTGGATGGCCCAACAAATATCTACAAATTATTAAAATTATTTCCAAAATATATATAGATAATAAAAAATTTAAAAGCAACTATTTTAAATACTTCTATTTGGCTTCTGCTCTCGTAATGGCAATATTATGCATGGCCCCCAATCTGTAAAAAATATATATACACAAAATTAAGCACACAACCACATACTATGACAAAAGAATTCAATTTAAAAAAACAAAATGCATGACTACTTACCTGGTCCACTCGAAGAACTAGCCATGTCCTAAAATAAAATATAAAAACTATTTCAAAAACATAGTTCATGAGAAGATAAAGAGACTTAGTAAAGGTGGCAGAACATAAAGACATAATAAAGCAATGCTTCAACTCAGAACACCTACTTTGCATAGTCTGCTACTGCAATTCAATTTTAATAAAACTAAAAAACAAATTTGATAAAGTATTAACATAGTCTAACAAAAAAAGAACTAAGATTGTTTAAAATGAGATTCTAAGTAAAATGGATAAAGGTACTGCAAAAGGAAATAGTAAAATTAGTATCACCTAAACAATACCCCCCTGTCCATTATATTACTTCCCATTTTAACCAGACACAGATATTAAGAAAAATTTTAAAGCACTGGCTCTGCAATTCTACCAACTACCACCACACACAAGAAGATAGGGCATCTCTTCCACACTTCTGCACACCATCGAACTTGCTCAGCAGAAGAGTCTGCATACCATCGAACAAGACCACCAGAAAAAAAGACTGCCTTGAACTTTCTTCCTCTGATATATAAGTTAAATTGAAGGTCTATTTGCCACCCTTCAACATTACAAACCTAGGTATCATCTCTACACACTTTTGAAAAGGGATCAATTATTGTGTTTGCTCCAGCCTCCACGGATGATTGCACTAGTTCAGCAGACCATGATCTTTAGATCTAAACATCTATGGTCACCAACATACCAATGAGAAACATTGAGAAATGGAACTTCAAAGAGAGGGAGAGAAAAAGGATATACTTCATTAGAAAATTAAGGGGAAGAAGACAATTTAATTTGAAGGAGGTTTGGGGTGCAACGCAAAGGCGAGCCGCGGCACTAAGTGTACTGCCATGATGCCCAGGCGATAACTAGACAACAAGTAGTACATAAGAACTGCTATACATTAATAACACTAATATAAATATATCACATTTATTTGGTTGTTGATAAAGTTTAAATAATGAATACGGCAAAGTTTAACAAGCACAAGGGAGCAAGATAAACAAACCATTGAAAGGAAGAAAAAAGAGATTTGGATACCAAAAAAGATGAATCCAAATATTAATGGAGAAGAAAGACAAGAGAAACCTCCCAAAAGAAGGAAAGGAGATCATGACGGTGTACGAGAATGGGTTTACTGGAGGAAGAAGATCAGGATACTAGTTATGGAATACACAAAAGGTTAAAAGAAGCATCTTATATGGGCTGGAATATTAGGGGGCTAATTAACCCCAATAATTAGCATGTGGTGCAGAGTTTTGTGCATAAGAATGATAATGGTATGATGGGGATTCTCGAGACAAAAATTATAAAAGATAGATTCAAGGATATTGAAGAGATAATGTTCAGAGGATGGAAGTCAATTATGAATAGCGAAGAGCATTATATGGGGAGAGTGTTTTGTGCTAATCCTCTAAAATTGACTTATCAGAAGATACACTGTAGTGGAAGAAGAATTGGAAGGAATAATCAGTTCTTTATAACTTTTGTGGAGTGGCGGAGCCAAGCCGCAAGTTTTGGGAAGATACGGGAATAGAATACGGGTTCTAGGGGCAGCACCCCAGACTTTTTTTAAGGCACTATTAAATGACTAAAAATAATACTAGGCAAATTGGAAGCATTCAAATAATGAAAATGATACTTGTAAAAATCAATAAAATATAATATGAAATGTCACTTCTATTTTCTATTCTTGTAATTTAAAGTTTTTATTCCAGAATTTATTATACTCTGTAATAATTTAAAATGTGTCATTAATCAAATTTATTTAATGATTTTTTTAAACAAAACAAGTAATGTAATTGGATATTTAAAAACACGACAGATGATTGCACTAGTTCAGCAGACCATGATCTTTCTAGATCTAAACATCTATGGTCACCAACATACCGATGAGAAACTTCGAGAAATGGAACTTCAAAGAGGGGAGAGATAAAGGAAATACTTCATTAGAAAATTCAGGGGAAGAAGACAATTTAATTTGAAGGAGGTTTGGGATGCAACGCAAAGGCAAGCCGCGGCACTAAGTGTACTGCCATGATGCCCAGGCGATAACTAGACAACAAGTAGTACAAGAGAACTGCTATACATTAGTAACACTAATATAAATATATCACATTTATTTTGTTGTTGATAAAGTTTAAACAATGAATACGGCAAAGTTTAACATGCACAAGGGAGCAAGATAAACAAACCATTGAAAGGAAGAAAAAAAGATTTGGATACCAAAGAAGATGAATCCAAATACTAATAAAGGAGAAGAGAGACAAGAGAAACCTCCCAAAAGAAGGAAAGGAGATCATGATGGAGTATGAGAATGGGTTTACTGTAGTAAGAAAAAGAGCTGCTAGAAGGATCATACTGGAGCAAGAAGATCAGGGTGCTAGTTATGGAATACACAAAAGTTTGGAAGAAGCATCTTATATGGGCTGGAATATTAGGGGGCTAATTAACCCCAATAATTAGCATGTGGTGCAGAGTTTTGGGCATAAGAATGATAATGGTATGATGGGGATTCTCGAGACAAAAATTATAAAAGATAGATTCAAGGATATTGAAGAGATAATGTTCAGAGGATGGAAGTCAATTATGAATAGCAAAGAGCATTATATGGGGAGAGTGTTTTGTGCTAATCCTCTAAAATTGACTTATCAGAAGATACACTGTAGTGGAAGAAGAATTGGAAGGAATAATCAGTTCTTTATAACTTTTGTGGAGTGGCGGAGCCAAGCCGCAAGTTTTGGGAAGACACGGGAATAGAATACGGGTTCTAGGGGCAGCACCCCAGACTTTTTTTAAGGCACTATTAAATGACTAAAAATAATACTAGGCAAATTGGAAGCATTCAAATAATGAAAATGATACTTGTAAAAATCAATAAAATATAATATGAAATGTCACTTCTATTTTCTATTCTTGTAATTTAAAGTTTTTATTCCGGAATTTATTATACTCTGTAATAACTTAAAATGTGTCATTAATCAAATTTATTTAATAATTTTTTATTTAAACAAAACAAGTAATGTAATTGGATATTTAAAAAAATTCTGTCAATGATTTTTCTAAAAAAATAATCAGCTTAACCGCACAAATAGAGGAAAGACAATCAAATTATACAAAACTGCAATCATTATCATCCTGAAAATATAAATAATAAATAATACTTTTAAAACACAGCCGAACCCTGAAGGAGATGGAGGCTCCGGCTTGGTGTCTGGCGGCGTGTGATATATAGAGTAGGTTTTACACTTAAGTGTAAACCTATGTCATTTAAAACTTAGATTAAATAAAAAAACTAGAAGACAAAACGTCGGCGTTTGGATGATTCAAAAGAAGCAGAGGAGGAAGCACAGCCACAATTCCCGCAAAGGACTGGGAGGGCACACCGCCAGTGGATGCACATTGCCGGATGTTATGGTACACTTCGCCAGAGCTCTGCCGGGGGCACGTGCCCAGGCACTGCCCCCCCCCCCTCCTCCCTCCGCCCCTGCTTTTCTGTCTTGTCATAATGATAACACTAGGAGAAATTTGTTATGTAAAGATCTTAAGAGAATCTCGAATAACATTACAGAGGCTTGGTGTGTGATTGGAGATTTTAATAATGTTCTCCACTTAGATGATAAAACAGTAAACTAGGAGAAAATTCAGGAGTTGATTGTGTGAGTGTGGGCTGGATGACTTGTCAATGGAAGGGTCAGACTACACATGGTCGAATAGACAAGGGCTTGGGAGGAGAATTTATTCAAAAATTGACACAGCTATTGAGGACATAGAGTGGATGATGAGTATTGGTACTAAATATATATATTTCAAGAAGAAAGTATCTCTGATCATACTCTTCTTAAATGTACACAAGAGCAAAGTAATAAATTGTTTAGGTTCTATGATATGTGGGTTCTTGACCCTACATTCCCTAAAATTGCTGAAGAGGTTTGGGTGCAAGAGCAGGAAGGAAGACTTATGTACCAGTTGGAACATAAGGTGAAGGATTAAAAACATCCTTGAAAGCTCTTCATAGGGATAAATTTAGTGACATCCACAATCAATGTGAGTTACTAAGGGATAAGCGAATGGATAATCAAGAACAATTACAGAGGGATTCGACTAATGAGAATCTCATTAGTAATGAGAAAAAGCATATCAAGGAGCTTACGTAGAAATTACCTGTGGGGGGCAAGTGCCAAATGCCAATTACATGAAGGGTCCTCTAGTGAGGTGGGAAGAAATCTGCTTCCCTAGAATGAATGGTGGTCTAGAGAATATGAAGTTCTGAAATAAATCCTACATAATGAATATGTGCTCGGATATGTAGCAAATAAATAGGATATAGAAAAATTGAACCCTAGTCTGCGCAAGTAAGCATCTGATCGAGGTTTTGAAGGGGGCGTAATACTCCGTAAAAAATACTTTGAAGAAAAAGACTCACAGTACCCTACTCAATGCTCCACGCAAGTGAAATTTTGTGATAAGGCAAAGCTCAGGAACTAGAACCAACTTATATTTAAAAAAAATGGAACATACCAGAGAAAAAGAGAGATACTTCAGTGGTGACGATGAGGAAGAAAGGGATCCGAAGGAGAGTAGGGTTTCCAGAGGGCCCAAATTGAAATTTGAGTGTTGACAAGGATAAATAAGATAGGAAAAAGCTATGGCTGAAAACTAAAATTGGAACCATTTGTATAGTAAGAATAATTTGAATTTTGTACGAATTAGATATTACCTTATTCATATTTGTATTTAAACAAATTTGAATAATAAAACACTATTCGAATTCGTAATCGGATACAAATGCCGAACCGAATATAAAATACTATTTGATTTGTATACACCTCTACCACACTTTTTTCAGTCAACCTTGTTTCTCTTGAAATAAATCAATTTTTTTTTCAACCATACTACAGGTACACCAAAAGTGTACCCCAAAGAAATACACTGATATTTTAACGGTTTACACGGCGAAAAATTTCAGTATAATTAAACAAATTGTACTGGCACTCTTTGCCAATGTAAAGAATCACACTAGCACAAAATGTCGGTGCATGTCTATGAGATACAAATTTTGGTGTACAAATAGCTTAATCCTTCTTTTTTTCATTAGAGCCTATAAATCACTGTGCATGTGGTGTGAATTAGCTAAATACTCGGTAAAAACTTGATACATTTTTATGGCACTATGTGGGTGTTTCTTTGTGTTAGTGCATCTAAATTTATTGTTTATTAGTTAAAAACTCTTTTGTGTAGATAAAATAACTTAAGTGATATGTAAGTTATTTGAGAATATTTATAATGGGCGAGGGAAAGTTTTGAAAGTAATCTGGTCAAAATGAGGAAACGAAAAAAACTAACCTATTAAGACCTTATTTATTCTTACTTATAAGATCTAGTAAGACCAGCTTATTTTTTCTTGACTTAAAAGTAGCTTGTAAGTCAGCTTATAAGTACATTTGCCGACTTCTAAGTTAAAAACAGCTAATAAGTAGTTTCGATCACATTAGAAACCCAAAGCAACAAAGCAACACCCACAATATTACTTTTTCTTTAAAATGTAAGGGAGAATAAACAATATATGAAGTAAATAACTTGGGTTTAGGTCCTAACAAAGTAAATGAAAGATGTAATTAGGCTAGTCACCAAATATTTTAAGAACAAATTTTCCTCCATAAAAAATTTGTCAAAAAAAAATTCAGCTTAGAAATTATGGAGTACCATACGCTAGTCATATAGTGAACGACAATAAACTAAGAATTACGATTTAACTTCATTACGGAGTGTTTGAGTAGCTCTGGCATCTAGTTCTTTATCTACACCCACAAGCAATTAGTTATAACAATGTATTACTAATTATTAGTAATGAATCAAATGGAGAATAATTAGAGTGAAATTTGTAACACATTCGTAGTAAAATGCATAGTTTTCAGAACCGAACCAGTGATCGAACCGGTCAAGGCACTGGTTCACTAGTTCATTGGTCGAACCAGTGGTTCGAGTGGTTGAACCGGCGGTTCAAACATTTTTAATAAATAGATAAATAAATATATATATATACACACACACACATATACATTGTGGCATTGAATTAAAAAACTAATATATGATTAATAAAATAATATTTCCTCTATTTGTAAATAAAAAATTGATGTTTGACTAAATTTATAATCTAACTTAATTTACTTGAGTTGTTTCATTAAATAAAACATAAAATTTACTTATTTAAAAAATCTTAAAAATAAAAATGATTTGAATTTTTTTAAACATTTTATCTAGTATTTAAAAATATATAAAACATTTATGTGATATGCTCATATGCACTCCATATCAATTACTTAAATGGGTTTTGAATTTTAGTAAAAATAAACTATATATACTTAAAAAGTATTCCGTATTTGATTAAAAAAAATTGAACAAAGGATATATTAAAGAATTGTAGGAAGTTACCAACAAGCATCCGAGCAGAGATGGCTAGAGAAGCTTCTCCTTCCATGCACTCTTGTGTTCGAACCCTCAGGCGCGCAATTTTTAAACTTCTTCATAAAAGCCATGAAAAAACTGGATCCGGCGGTAAAACCAGCCGGTTTTTTCCGGTTTTAACTGGTTTTCACTGGTTCATGGCTGAAGGCGGTCTAACTGCCCGAACCGGACCAGTTTGGTGTCCGGTTCACCGGTTCCCGGTTCGAACCGTCCGGTCCGGTCTGGTTTTAAAAACTATGGTAAAATGACATAAATATTTTGATTTGAAATTGGAGGGGGAAAAAAGGTCGAGAATTACACTCATAGAACAAAAGTACACAAATTGTGTCTACTACCCTCAACATGGTATTGTTGAAAAATAAAATAAGTGAAATTTGCACTAAATAGTACTAAAAACATATGTAGTACTTAAAACTTTTTTATTCCCTAAATAATACTCCCTCCATCTCGTGAAACATGAGAGTTTTGCTTTTTAGAAGAGATTTAAGGGGAGTGTATTTTGGTATTGAAATTCCAAAAATGTCCTTAGAGGTGATGGTAAAAGTATGATTTGATGGATAGATTATTAGTAAAAAGGTATGATGTGGTAGTTAGAATATGAAAAAGTAAGGGGTAAAAGTGACTTTTTAATAGAAATGAGAAGTATTTTGTGGGACGGATAAAAAAAGAAAGGAGAAAGATTTTATGGGACAGATGGAGTATTTGAATAATGTCTAGTTGCGGGAATAATATCCAATAATGGTGAACATTTAGTTCAAACAATGTCCAGTAGTTGTAAACAATTACTTAAACAATGACTAGTAGACAATGACCATTGGTACTACATTGAAAAATAAAAATATATATATTACTATATGGAGAAAATCGTTATGTTTTAATACTATTTAGGTAAATTTCTCATTACACTTACAATTGTCAATGTAAGTGCGAGATTAATGGTTTACATTAAACACAAAATTAATGTCAGTGTGAGATTTTGTGATTGCACTGATATTTTATATTAATGCAAGCCATCAAAATGTAAGTGTAAATCTTTGGAATTTGTTTTGAGATATAATCTTTGGAATAAGTTTTGAGATTCAATCTACTTAGTAAAATTAAATTTTAATTTGTTTGATTAAAATGGATACTTAGGGGTTACCCATGAAGGAACAATATGGCTTTGTGACTCCAATCCATTTTTATATGTCCATCTTGGTCAACTCTTCAAAGAATTCAGCCTGAATAAAAGAGAGAGAGAGAGAGAGAGAACAAATTTGAAGCAAAAGCATGATAATTTATGATTGAGAGAATAAACACTATTCTATGAAATCAAGAATATTATAAAATCTACCTAACATTGAATTTCAGCGACTAAAGCAGCGGGTTACAAAGTTAAGTGATACCTTGTAAAAATTAATGTAGAATTGAGAATTAGATCAATAAAATAAAAGTACTAAAAGTGGGTCTACCATCAACACGGTATAAACTAAAAAATCAAATAAAGATTATATCATGGGGGCCGCGGTAGGAGGACATCGGGATGGCGTTCCACCTTTTTTTAATAAAAAAAGTTAATAAGAAAACATGCACTCCTGACAAAAGCATGAAATGACTTCCTAAATTGCGATTAAGGGGATATTTATAATTTTGGAGGAAAAATTAATAACTATGCACAAGCAATTAAAATTCCCACCCCCTCAAAAAATTGTAGGTGAAAAAATAATTCATCTTTATCTGTGGGTCAAGTAAAAGGGGGATTCACTCGATAACTTGGGGCTCCCCATTTTGTTCAATTTTTACATATTTTTTGGTATTGAAATGGGAAATTGGAGATCAAAATTCAATTCCAAATCAAAATTTTTACGTTGCGAAATAGAAAAATTGAAATTAAAGTCTCTGGTTCTAATTCTATGATCTAAATCTCGTGTACCAAACGGAGTCAAACTGAATTTCAGTGAGTAGTTTTAATAAATATAGAGGTGCAATTGGCCCAAACCAACCTGATAATTTGAAGGGTTTTGCCACAAGTACTCCAAGATAAGAACAGACACACAGGTAATGTATGTGAATACACAAATATTGAGCGTCTACGTATGTCTATTTTTGTCCGTGTACACACTTAAGTTGTTGTTGGAAGACACTTGAAAGAGTAATAGTCCGTTTGGTATACAGAATTGATGGATTTGGAATTGGAATTGAATTGGAATTAAAATTTTATGGGATTCAATTCCATAGAATTGAATTCATCAATACCAATTCAATTTTTGCACTACCAACTACAAATCCACATAATTTTTGTGCTACCAACACGAATATTGGAATTGAAGTCCTCAATTCCAATTTCATAGTTTGAATTCCGTGTACCAAACGGGGCCTAAGAAAAAATTAAAAGAAATTGAAAAAAGTTGGACGTTAACTTTTCCAGCCTAAAGGAATAGACCTGAATATGTTACATTTGAATATCAAACGAATTAAAAAATAATTTTAAAGTTTTTCATGTTTTGTTTGTAGTATTAAATATACTCGGTAAGAATTAATAAATGGAGGATTCTTACCTATAAGAATTAGAATATGGAGGATTGTTATTAATATTGGGCCCATTACCAAATGCTGTGGTTCAATTATTTGCGTAGTATTCTAGAGTGTTAATTTAGGGCCCATGATATTATTATTTGGAAAGACCGGGTCCATGATCTAATAATTGACTGTGGTGAAACTAGTTCATCATTATGTAAAATAAAATAGTACTCCATATGTAAAAGAAAATAGTTAGGTCATTTGATGAGATGTTTCTTGAGTGGTTTTAAATATATATACGTGCTCAATTTCAATTTTACACGGTACCAGCTAGCAATAAAATTAATTGGAGAATAATTAGAAAGAAATTTGTACGGAGCAACCCATTCATAGTAAATTTTTGCATAAATTTCTAAATTAGTCCTTTGCAATAAGGTGTTTTTTCAAATCAACCGTTCTAATTATCTAAATCATCTATAAATGAGATTTATTGATTTTATTCCCAAGATTATTCTTCGTAAATAATGTTACTCAAATGATGATTAATTGGTGATATTTTTTATCCGCTAATTTAGAATAAGTTTAATACCCTTCGATTAATCATCATTTGAGTAACATTATTTAAAAGACTATCTAAGAAATAAATCTCAATTATAGAGAACCAAAAGTAATTAAATCTTATTGATGACTGAATTGGGAAAATACTTTATTACAAATGACCATTTTAGAAATTTACTCTTTATCTTTTATGGCAGTTCCCAAAACATAATATTTCTCTTTGAAAAATACATTGGTCTTTAAAATAGCTTCAAATTACTTGGTAACAGACTTTTGGTGGATGTACCCTAAAAGTGAAATCATGTTCAAAGTTCGTATACCCAAGAAATAAAGCTAAACATAGAAAGCCAGAAATCTTAGCGTATATGAAATATTGAGGACAAGGTGCATAAATATTATCATACGGACTAAGGCTCCGTTCCGTTCAACTTATTTTTTCTGATCTGATCTGATTCTAATAAGTTCTGATCTGATCTGGTCTGATATGATCTGATTGGATCTGATCTGATCTGATTGGATCTGATCTGATCTGATCTGATTGGATCTGATCTGATCTGATTGAATCTAATCTGATCTGATTGGATCTGATCTGATCTGATTGGATCTGATCTGATCTGATTGGATCTGATCTGATCTGATTGGATCTGATCTGATCTGATTGGATCTGATCTGATCTGATTAATTATAATTTAATTTAAAATTTTAAATCAATAATTTAATTTGACTATATAATAATGTTTGAAAATTGTAATGATAATTCATATTATAATATAATCAACATTTTTTATTTAATGATTATTTTTTATAAAATAAAAATAGTCAATTCATATATTAGAATAATCATTCATATTATAATGTAATAATATTTTTATTTTATCATTATTTTTTTGTAAAATTAGAATTATACATTAGAATAAATATTTAATTTAGATATACATTAAAAAATAATTAAATTTAGATAACCAATATATAGAAGAGATAGTATTTTTATTAAAATATCTCATCCTTATAAAAGATCAAAAGTTTAGAAACTCAAATTACAACTAGCAATAAAAATATATTTTAAAAGTAGAATTAAATTGACAATGTAATAATGATGATGATGATGATAATAATAATAATGATAATGATAATAATGATAATAATGATAATGATAATAATGATAATAATGATAATAATAATAATGATAATGATAATGATAATAATAATAATAATAATAATAATCATAATACAACAACAACAACAACAACAACAACAACAACAACAACAACAACAACAACAACAACAACAACAACAACAACTACAACAACAA